TATACATATATACAGGAGGTTTACAATAACATACACATTACAATGACCAATATCTGACATATTATGAACACTATACATATATACAGGAGCTTTACAATAACATACACATTACACTGACCAATATCTGACATATTATGAACACTGTACATATATACAGGAGCTTTACAATAACATACACATTACACTGACCAATATCTGACATATTATGAACACTATACATATATACAGGAGCTTTACAATAACATACACATTACACTGACCAATATCTGACATATTATGAACACTGTACATATATACAGGAGCTTTACAATAACAAACACATTACACTGACCAATATCTGACATATTATGAACACTATACATATATACAGGAGCTTTACAATAACATACACATTACACTGACCAATATCTGACATATTATGAACACTATACATATATACAGGAGCTTTACAATAACATACACATTACACTGACCAATATCTGACATATTATGAACACTATACATATATACAGGAGCTCTGCAATAACATACACATTACAATGACCAATATCTGACATATTATGAACACTATACATATATACAGGAGCTCTGCAATAACATACACATTACAATGACCAATATCTGACATATTATGAACACTATACATATATACAGGAGCTCTGCAATAACATACACATTACAATGACCAATATCTGACATATTATGAACACTGTACATATATACAGGAGCTTTACAATAACATACACATTACACTGACCAATATCTGACATATTATGAACACTGTACATATATACAGGAGCTTTACAATAACATACACATTACACTGACCAATATCTGACATATTATGAACACTGTACATATATACAGGAGCTTTACAATAACATACACATTACACTGACCAATATCTGACATATTATGAACACTATACATATATACAGGAGCTCTGCAATAACATACACATTACAATGACCAATATCTGACATATTATGAACACTGTACATATATACAGGAGCTTTACAATAACATACACATTACACTGACCAACATCTGACATATTATGCATACTATACATATATACAGGAGCTTTACAATAACATACACATTACAATGACCAATATCTGACATATTATGAACACTATACATATATACAGGAGCTTTACAATAACAAACACATTACACTGACCAATATCTGACATATTATGAACACTGTACATATATACAGGAGCTTTACAATAACATACACATTACACTGACCAATATCTGACATATTATGAACACTGTACATATATACAGGAGCTCTGCAATAACATACACATTACACTGACCAATGTCTGACATATTATGAACACTATACATATATACAGGAGCTCTGCAATAACATACACATTACACTGACCAATATCTGACATATTATGAACACTATACATATATACAGGAGCTTTACAATAACATACACATTACACTGACCAATATCTGACATATTATGAACACTATACATATATACAGGAGCTTTACAATAACATACACATTACACTGACCAATATCTGACATATTATGAACACATATATACAGGAGCTTTACAATAACATACACATTACAATGACCAATATCTGACATATAATGAATACTATACATATATACAGGAGCTTTACAATAACATACACATTACACTGACCAATATCTGACATATCATGAACACTATACATATATACAGGAGCTTTACAATATCATACACATTACACTGACCAATATCTGACATATTATGAACACTGTACATATATACAGGAGCTTTACAATAACATATACACATTACACTGACCAATATCTGACATATTATGAACACTATACATATATACAGGAGCTTTACAATAACATACACATTACACTGACCAATATCTGACATATTATGAACACAGTACATATATACAGGAGCTTTACAATAACAAACACATTACACTGACCAATATCTGACATATTATGAATACTGTACATATATACAGGAGCTTTACAATAACAAACACATTACACTGACCAATTTTTGACATATTATGCATACTATACATATATACAGGAGCTTTACAATAACATACACATTACACTGACCAATATCTGACATATTATGAACACTATACATATATACAGGAGCTTTACAATAACATACACATTACACTGACCAATATCTGACATATTATGAACACAGTACATATATACAGGAGCTTTACAATAACAAACACATTACACTGACCAATATCTGACATATTATGAACACTATACATATATACAGGAGCTTTACAATAACATACACATTACACTGACCAATATCTGACATATTATGAACACAGTACATATATACAGGAGCTTTACAATAACAAACACATTACACTGACCAATATCTGACATATTATGAATACTGTACATATATACAAGAGCTTTACAATAACATACACATTACACTGACCAGTATCTGACATATCATGAACACTGTACATATATACAAGAGCTTTACAATAACATACACATTACACTGACCAATATCTGACATATTATGAACACTATACATATATACAGGAGCTTTACAATAACATATACACATTACACTGACCAATATCTGACATATTATGAACACTATACATATATACAGGAGCTTTACAATAACATACACATTACACTGACAAATATCTGACATATTATGAACACTGTACATATATACAGGAGCTTTACAATAACATACACATTACACTGACCAATATCTGACATATTATGAACACTATACATATATACAGGAGCTTTACAATAACATACACATTACACTGACCAATATCTGACATATTATGAACACTATACATATTTACAGGAGCTTTACAATAACATACACATTACACTGACCAATATCTGACATATTATGAACACTATACATATTTACAGGAGCTTTACAATAACATACACATTACACTGACCAATATCTGACATATTATGAACACTATACATATATACAGGAGCTTAACAATAACATACACATTACACTGACCAATATCTGACATATTATGAATACTGTACATATATACAGGAGCTTTACAATAACAAACACATTACACTGACCAATATCTGACATATTATGCATACTATACATATATACAGGAGCTTTACAATAACATACACATTACACTGACCAATATCTGACATATTATGAACACTATACATATATACAGGAGCTTTACAATAACATACACATTACACTGACCAATATCTGACATATTATGCATACTATACATATATACAGGAGCTTTACAATAACATTCACATTACACTGACCAATATCTGACATATTATGAACACTATACATATATATACAGGAGCTTTACAATAACATACACATTACACTGACCAATATCTGACATATTATGAACACTATACATATATACAGGAGCTTTACAATAACATATACACATTACACTGACCAATATCTGACATATTATGAACACTATACATATATACAGGAGCTTTACAATAGCTTACACATTACACTGACCAATATCTGACATATTATGAACACTATACATATATACAGGAGCTTTACAATAACAAACACATTACACTGACCAATATCTGACATATTATGAACACTATACATATATACAGGAGCTTTACAATAACATACACATTACACTGACCAATATCTGACATATTATGAACACTATACATATATACAGGAGCTTTACAATAACATACACATTACACTGACCAATATCTGACATATTATGAACACTATACATATATACAGGAGCTTTACAATAACATACACATTACACTGACCAATATCTGACATATTATGCATACTATACATATATACAGGAGCTTTACAATAACATACACATTACACTGACCAATATCTGACATATTATGAACACTATACATATATACAGGAGCTTTACAATAACATACACATTGCACTGACCAATATCTGACATATTATGAACACTGAACATATACAGGAGCTTTACAATAACAAACACATTACAATGACCAATATCTGACATATTATGAACACTATACATATATACAGGAGCTTTACAACAACATCCATCAGCCTTGTATTGATCGGTGCATCTTCCTAATGCAATTTACCTGTGATATACCTGTAATATACCTGTGCATTGATGCAATCTCAATGCTGCTGCAGGTGGCTATAATGTTCCCTTATAACAGGTAAAATCAATTCTGCAATGTTCCTGTCTCTTTGAGTAGGATTGTTAATTAGCCTTCACTCTGCTGGTAGCATATGTAAACAAATACTGAAAATGGTTTATACATAGGTGGTAGACTCTCATAAAAAATTTTAGTTTTGATATATTCCCTGAAATTTATTACAGGTATGTAATTTTTATTGTTCAATTCCCAGGCTTATATGAAGTGCTCACCATTACATTTTAGTTGTGTTATGGTTGCTATAGTAACACAGACAGTGGTACTTGGAGCAGATCAAATCTGCTATATAAAAGATGAATATCAGTGTTTCAATCATGATGTTTTGCATTTGTTATATGATATTCACATACAATATACATTATAACAATGACTAGTTACATATAAGTAGATAATCATGTGATTTATTGCAAAATTATATAATGTGATCGATTCTTAACCAAAGAAATATTCCAATGGTATAATAAAATTTAATTACGAGATGTTGGGTCGATTTTGTAGGAGTCATCACGACTCAATTTTATCTCCCCTCATTGCTATGAAGTACACTCAATGAGGCAAGATTATAAGATATTATATGTTGAAAATTCATAATTTGCTAATATTTTATGTATTGGATGGCTTTATATCATAATATCACTAAAATCATCTTGTTCTTGTAGTCATTGGCTTTCAACAACTTGAAAGTCCATGATTTAGTACAAAGCTTGCATTATAGTTTGGTTCAATGCATTGTATTTATATTTGTTTAATGGATGTTTTGTAATTTTATTTTTAAATGTTGCCACTTTTTCCAGACAAAATGCCAATATCACCACGATTGGGAGTGCCTAAGACAGCAAGTCGGGCAGACCTTCAGCAGTTGGTCCAGGATGACGAGCAGAACCCAAACACTCCCATGATTCAAGTGACACACCCGAACATCCCACAAAATAAAGAAGGACTTTCAAACCCAGTCTTTACATTCGAAGATGCGGAGTTGGCAAAGAAGCAGGAGACCCCTTCTAAGGATGAGGAAAATGTGTTGACGCATCGACGTGGAAGTTACAACAGTTTAACTGTTCCAGAAAATGGACCAGGTAAGTCTATTTGTTATGTGGTTGTCATGACTATATGGTGGTAATGGGTATTGCATTATCCATTACACGTAATTTGTACTTTCTTTCTGTGAATGTAACATGTTTATTTGGATGATTTGAAACACTTAGATAGATCGCTTTAGTTTTACTTTTTTGTTTTTGTGTTCTTTATTTGTGTCTGTTACTGCTCTTAGAATTCACTCCCTTTGACTTATTGAATATTAATTGTAAACCATTCATTGATTAAGGATCATTTTATTAATCTCTATAGCATGGTGTTCACGAAAGCAACGTCGCAAAGGATGGGTGTCTGTGCCTAGTAGACGAGAAAGTGTCCCTTTGAAGTCAAAAGAAGACTTTGAAATAATAACTGAGGAAGGTCATTCCTTTTCTTGTCAGTATTCACCCAGGAGGGCCAAGAGAAAGTCACGCAGAAAAACATTGGCATATCAGTTGTTTAAATGTGCAGGTATTATGGAAGATTGATCGTAGCCTCCATGTATTGATGATACCCTCTGTGTATTGATGATACCCTCCGTGTATCCTTTCCCTGCCCCGGCCATAGCCTCACTGTTTGCCATTAATTATGTTGTGTCATTGACCCTTGTATTGCCAGGTTCATTTAATGATTGAGCCATATCCACAGGGATTTTACCAAAAGGGTGCTGAATCCTAATTTTACCAGTTTTCTTCAAATATCTAAATATTTCACCTTTTTGGCTGGCAGTATGGCATGTAATTTTCAGCTTTACAGCATGCTCACTGTAACTGGAGTTTTTAACACTTTACTTTACAGGTACAAATTTATAAGGAATTCTGAAGCCTGAGATTTGGCATTTTCACCTACTGCATTGCTATTTTCACAATGCCACTTTACATGTCTGTGTTGATTTTTAGTGATAACACTGACTAGTTAATCAAGACAGTTTTCTCATCTCCCTCACACTGTCTTCTGTAAAACCAAATGATAACAGCCCCCACCCCTAACCAATCGATATCCATATTGAAGATGGGTAATGCATCTGTTTGTTTGTTTGTTTGTTTGTGGATGTTATACTCTGTCACGATATAATGGAATAACTCACTTTAACGAATACTCCTTATTGCTATATATGTATTTTAGTTTCTAAGTTGACAAAACCAGAATATTCCTCTTAGAATATTATTGATGAAATCTACAGTTATACTTTTTTTCTATTATTTTTTTTTATCTTAATAGAATATCTATTCCAACATTAAGTGGCATAATAACTGATGCTCAATATGTTGTATGTAAATAATATTACTTTCTATATGCTCACCTTACACTCATTATACTTGTACTTTATGCAGTTACAGTACAGTACATGCATGGGCATAATCAGGGGGAGGGTGCAATGGGTGCGATTTCCAGGGGGTGAACCCCCAATGTTCCCCATATTCCCCATATTTCCTACTTTGCTGGCAGTGATGCAAACCTCAAAAATCGCACCCCAGCCCTTGACAATTGCTGCCTATGCCCCTGACATGTACATATTTATTATGACATATGTGGTATCATTTACCCTTTAATAGTAGTTTGATTTCATGCCATCTTACACCTCTATATTCGGGGATGGAATTTTGCAATCAGGGGCCTTGCCAATATCAGATGTATACATAAAGATTACAGACATTGAGAGATGTCACTGTCAGCAAACAGCCGATGTAGTTTTCAAATATTATTTATGTGGCACATATTGGTATTATTTATTGTGAATACTGTAGAAAGATGGCGCTACTGTTGATAATGCTACTAGTTTGTATTAAAATGCCATTGAAGGGAAATTATTGAAGGGAGCTTGTTGTACTTCATATAGATGTCAGTTCATCATGTGAGATCATCCCCCTCTTGAAAACTTTGGTTGTTTTGTAATTAGGCTAGGCATCAAAGTAAAAAAATAATGCCATCCTTCTAAGTTCAAACAACCATCAACTAGAAAGGATGCATACTTTAGATATTTCCCTAGGACAATAGATAATAAATGGATCACTCAACCTGGTGACATCTTAGACTGTGACAGTCTAAGTAGTTTCAAATCATCGTACTATGCCTATGTCTACAATCAAATAGGTGTGTTTTTAATATACAGTAAAACCTGTGTATAGTGAACATTTTTCTGCCGAGAAAAAATGTTCACTGATGGTAGCTGTTCACTACAGCAAGGATCTGATTTCGTGGCATTTTGCCGTATTATATAAAGAGACCAGTTATTAAACAAGGCAAAAATAGAGGAGGGAATAATCAATTTAATTTGTATTTCCTAGTACCTACCCATTATAACCCATGACACTCTTGTGATAAGTTTTTGTTTTGTTGTAGTGTTATATAAACTGACTTATTTAGACTGACTGTCATCTGAATGGTTCATCCTTTATCGTGAAATTTTAATCACTTTGTAATTCTTTATAATCTCATTTAGATGATTCTTTAAATAGAGGAATCCTTGACACATTTGAGTCAGTTAAAGGACGCAATTGAATTTATTTAAAGGACATGATAGAGTCAATTAAGGGTGGTCATTTTGATTTTAATGCATCTGTTATTTAAATTGATTGGGATGAGAAAAAGATTGACGGTAAGTTGGGACTTAGAGATAGAGGTAATAACATGAGTAATAGTTAACCAGATTATCTTCAAAAGCAATTGATGCTAGACAAACATCCTGTCTTACAAAACCAAAGCTTATTAAAAAGGTAGTTTAGAAAATACATCACCAAGAAAATGCATTTTCTAAAATTTTGGGGCTCCCAGAGGGTAAATTTAAATTATGAATTTTACTTTTAGATTTTTATGAAACAAATTGCCTACATCATTTTGTATGTTGTAATATTATACATTAATTAATAAGAGGTACTAAAGTATTACTACTACACATTTAATTTTTAAATGTTATTATCGAATTCAAATATAAATCAACTATTTTAACTGAGCCAAGTATTGGATGATTGGAGGCAGTATTGATCAAATTTGCAAAGGGTTAATTTTATTCTCACCTGTCTCAACAAAACAGGAATATCCCAGAATTCATACAGTCATACTTCTCTTATGTAAACTATATCATTGATTGGCCAAGGGTTCATCTATAATCCTGGGAAGTGACCTCTTCTGGACGAAAAGCGTGGGAACATCTGATATGACCAGTTCCCATAACAGTGTGTCACCTCACTGTATGTACAGTGATCGCCTACTATTAAAAGTGCGTGATCAAAGACTCGACAAGATGCGCAAAATTCGAAATGTCGGAGGAAAGGTATGTTTGTTTCTCTTTTCTTTACCACCTTTATGACATTTTACCTACAGATGGTATTCCATATGCTGTATAAGAGACTCAAGATTCATTTGGTAACAGGATTCGGTGATTGGTTCAACCGAAATACCTGAACTGAGTTAATAAATGAAGCAAAATCAAAAAAACCGCCGAATGAAAATGTATATTTCACCAAATTTTCTGTTTTTAGATTACCAAAACCACAAAACCAACATGCTTATGGTTAATATACATAATACTTAACATTACATGCATATCAGACGTTCCAACTCCCCTTCAGTATCGAGTAAGAAGGATGTTATGAAAACAATTTATGATCAGCCAAGTGGGTGATTTTACCATGTGGATTCTAATGATATGTTCTTTGCATTTCAGAGTGGTTGGGTTTACATGATTTTACTGTCCTTCATTACGAACTCCTAAATTTCAAATCATTATAAACCACCTTGTAGAACATCATGAAGAAGAAGAGATGAAGATGAGAAAGATTACTGAAAATAGAGGCAAATCTAGAATGATAACAAGAATTCGAAATTTCTCTGGAATAATACCAAATGAAGTGAAATCAATTAATAAACACATACTTGTAGAAAGTGATGAATTCATGACAATTTCAGTGATTGACAATAATCGAATGAAATCATCCAGAATCTCTGATTCAACAACTGCTACAAAATCAAATAAAATTACCAATGAAATTGCAATAGAACGAGAATATCAATTAGTAATGAAATGACAATAAATGATTCTGAAATTACAATAGACTCTCATTCTCCAATAGTGTCCACCAGTTAATCTGAGATGATACCCCTCTGAGCAAAGCCTAAACTGGAACTTTTACTCGGTCCCATCGATCCACATAACTCTGTCATTAGAGATAATAGCATGGTATTTATTTCACATTTTGTAGAGTTTCTCTAAAAACGCTCACTAATCGTTTATTTTGCATTCGATTACATACAATTCTAAAATTCTCAAGCTAATCACTTATAGACCTTAGTTGACTGAATATTGAATACCTAAGAGGAGTTTTCCCTTATACCTGTCATTTATATATGACCCAAGTTAGCCACCTCGTGGTGAAACTGGGAACTGACTACTGGCATCTACTGAAGGTTATTACGTCATTACATTACTTATTGATACCTTGCTGCAAAAGAATGATTTAACTCCCCAATGAAATAGATAATGTACAATTCAGATTTTATATTTTATTACAATTACAATTACATTACAATTCGACAATCATCTTGGATGCCAAGGTGTATAGTTCTCATACTTTGGGATCAGAGGCGTAAAATAAATGGACTAAAATGGAACTTAAAAAACAGTTCCACTTGTAATAGTGGGCTGTATAGCAAGGTTGGTCGGGGTCGGGAGCTGGGGATAATTTTATTGCTTAAATATAACCATATCATCATCCTACATTAGAATCCACTCAGTCTAACATCAATTTCTGGTGCGAAAGTTGTCATTTTTGAGTTTTACCCCCATTGACGACAAATTCTTGGGGGTACTATGACAAATGCTTATAACTAAAGAAGTATTTATTTGATCATCTTCATTTTTGGCATGGGTAATGAACAGGTATGTAAAAGTAAAATTTGAAAAATTCATACAAATCGGGTGATGAATCCATTCTAAAGATAATAATTCAGGTATTTGCAAGGGTCAATTTCAACATTTTCTGAATGTCGCCATGAAGTAAAA